TATATAAAATGGAACTGGGCATGGTGGTGTAGGTGCTTGCCTTTAATCTCAGGGAGACAGAGACAGGTGGGCCTCTGTGAGTTTGAGCCCAGCCTGGTCTACTTAGTGATTTCCAGGAAAGCTGGGGCTACAGGGAGACCCTGTCTCAAAAACAAACAAAATAGCTAATGGGAACCAAACCAAGCACTTTGCCTGTGCTAGGTAGGCATCCTCACCTGCCTGACATCCTCACAGATATAAAGCAGTCACCTGCTCCTACACCACCTGCTTCTTAGGCTGAGGTTGGAGACACTCACCCTTCCAGATGGTGGGGTGGCTTGCAGCAGGCGAAAGAGGGGCTTTCCTTGCTGCCCATTATTGTAGAACTTCAAGGCCTGGGTGACAATATCTTCATATCTTGGTGGGCGATGGGCCTCACAGAACACCACTGCTGAGGCCACCACCAATACAAAGGCCTTCCACAGCCCTGCCATCATCTCTCTGACTCACTGCCACTCTCAGCCCCTTTTATTTAGGGGGTGCTTAGGTTGCCTTGCACAAGAACTGCTGGTGACATAAAAGGCTGGTGCCTCCAAAAAGGGGGGGCCCCTTCTTAGCTAGAGACCAAGTATTGGCCAATGTTACAAAACACTCTTGGCCAAGAGGGGCAAGTATGTTTCGGCAATAGACCAGGACTTAGAAGTTATTCAAGAACTTCAAACTGGAAGCAAGAGACCTGTGGGTAGGCTGGGCATGCTATCCACTCTGGGCCTCAGTGTCCCCACTGGACTCTCCAGCTCTGCCCATCCAGAATCCTTCACTTTCTACCTGAATATTCTGTTTTGATCCCAAAAATAGCTGCCCAGAACCCATGAACTCCGTATGAGTTTATCAGGCAGGTTTACAAAGAGATGATCCGATCTGAGGCCGCATTCAGGGTGACACCCACAGTATTACATACATTAATGAACACTTCTGAATACCTTCACTTCTTGGCCTCTAATTTTTTCTATTTAGGGCTGAAGAGATGGCTGCTGCTCTCACAGAGGACCCGGGCTCAATTCCCTGCACTCAGATGGCGGCTCACAACTGTCTGTAACTCCAGTTCCAGGGGATCTGACACCCTCTTTTGGCCTCCATGAGCTTTACACATGCAAGTAAAACACTCACATACATTAAAAATAAAGTCTTAAAACTTTGAAAAATCATCAAGATTCAAGGCCCACCAGTCCCTCACAGCTATAACATCAGCATCCTCACTGCCCAGGGAAGCAAAGATTCCTGTTTGCTGGAATAGGCAACCCCAGCAGTAGCTAAGAAGGGGACCAGCAACAGAGACTTCATTGTCCTTGGCTCCCTTTCTAGAAGGAAATGGCCTTAAGCTTCCTAGCCAGCCTGTGACTGAGGAGCTCTCACTCTAAGGAGACTCAGAAACCAGGGAGATGAGTACGAAGTTAGGTCTTTTTGTTGTTTTATTTTGTTGAGACAGGATTTCATGTACCCCAGGCTAGCCTCAAACTCAATATATAGCTGAGAATAGCTTTAAACTCCTGACCCTCCCACTTCCACAGCCCAAGTGCTGGGGGTGATAGACATTTGTCACCACACCCAGCTTTAGATGTTTGGTTTTTACTTTTGGTATGTTAGTGGGTTTTTTGTTTGTTTTTGATTGATTTGGTTTTTGGTTTGGGTTTTTTGAAACAGGGTCTCACTATGCTGCCCCATCTGACTGACAATTCAAGATCTTGCCTCAGGCTCCTGAGAGAAGTGCTCAGATTATAGGCATGTGCCACTATCCCAGGCTAGGAAGTGATATTCCATCGTAGTTTTGATTTGCATTTTCCTAATGTCTAATAATTTTTAGTATATTTCAGTGTGCTTGTCTATTTGTAAGTCTTCTTTGGAGAAATGTCTACCTAAGTTCTATACACATTGTCTTTTCATTTCTTTTTAAACAGTTTCTTTCTTCCTTTCCTCCCTCCCCCCTCCCTCTTTCTCTCTTTCTTTCTTTCTTTCTTTCTTTCTTTTTCTTTCTTTCTTTCTGCTCAAGGACTATTTTATTGCAGCTTGAGAGAAAACCAACAGGGCAGGCAAACTGTACATTCCAGAAACTGCCAGAAGAGAGAGAGAAGGAAGAGGAGGAGGAGGAGGAGGAGGAGGAGGAGGAGGAGGAGGAGGAAAATCATGCATTTTGAGTATGTTGAGTTAGGGTCAGCAATGAAGGTCTGCAAGCAACTGTAGAAAGTGTGCGTGTATGTGCATGTGTGCATGTATATGTGTACGTGTGTGTGCTGTGTGCATGTATACATGTCTATGTATCTGCATGTGCATGTATGCATGTATGTGTATGTGTGTGCATGCCCACGTGTGTGCATGTGTGTATATGTGTATGTATGCATGTGTGCGTGCAAATGTGTCTGTGTTTGGGGGCAAGGTGTCTTCAGAGAGAACTGGAAGAAAGCCTAGAGGGCACAGCCAGCATGCTTAAGACTTTGGCTGGCATCCAAAGAAAAGCCAGAAAGAGAGCAAGGGAAAAGTTATGCTTTGGGGAATAGAACTTAAAGAAGCAAGCAAGCACACAGTGGAGGTTACTTAGGAGACCCTGAACCACGTCTACACAGTCAATTGGCAGAAAAGCTGTAGCAGGGGCCAGCCAGATGGCTCAACAGGTAAAGATACTTGCCATATATGCCTGATGACCTGAGTTTGATCCCTGGAACCCACGTAAAGGTGGAAGGAGAGAATTAGCTCTACAAATTTGTCCTCTGACGTCCACATGTATACCATGGCACTAGCCATATATACCCACAAACACCCCATAATAATAAATAAAACAATCTTTTAAAAATGTAGCAGACTGGAAGGATGTCTGTTTTCCAAGCTTCCTTTCCCTTTCAATTAAGCCCCAATTTCCTTTTTTTTTTTTTTTTTTCAGTCTTTTGAGACAGGGTCTCCCTGTAGCCCCAGCTGTCCTAGAACTCACTATGTAGACCAGGCTGGCCTTGAATTCACAGAGATCGCCCTGCCTCTGCCTCCCGAGTGCTGGGATTAAGGGTATGTGCCACCACGACTAGCCTCTTTTTAAAAATATTACTATTTTTATTTTATGTGTATGAGTGTATTGCCTGCATGTATGTGAGTGCACCCATGTTGTGCAATGCCTCAGAGGTCAGACAAGGACTTTGGAGTCCCATGGAACTGTAGTTAAGGACACTTCATAGCCGCCATGTGGATGCTGGAAATTGAAGGCAGGTCCTCTGCAAGAGCAGTCAGTGCTCCTAACTGCTGAACCATCTCTCCAGCCCCCCAATTTTTTTTGTCTTTTTGAGGCAGGGTCTCCCTGTATGTAGCCCCAGCTGGCCTGGAACTCACTATGTAGACCAGGCTAGCCTTGAACTCACCGAGATCTGCCCCCTGAGTGCTGGGACTAAAGGCGTGCACCATCACGCCCAGCTCAATTTCCTTTTT